CAAAATGCTAAGGTTTAGCAAAGTTATAAGTATCTGGAAACAGGATCTGATAATGGGATGTCAGGCTACCTGTGCCACCTATAATACTTCTCAAGGCAGGGATTCTGTTATTTGTCTTGCACTTTCTGCCTACTGTAAAAGTACTGAGTACACCTATAGCACTAAGTAACGGTGTGAGTGGAAGGAACAGAAAGCTATAGAAAACCTAAAAATGTTTGAGACCCAGAGAGAAAATGCAGAAAACCTAAAAATATGATTGGCCAAACTCTGTCCTCTGATTTCAGTGGAGCATATGCTTGGCTGTCTATGGCTCTTTTATTCATGTATCCAAAGGTATAATTTAGCTTCAAATTGTACTCCTACACAAAAGAAGGTCCTTAAGGAGATCAGAGAACCTAAGGGTTGAAAAAGTTGTCTAACACCATTTGCAAAAGTTACCTGGGTAGCTTCCCTCCAACTAATCTCCACGCTGACCTTATCTATATACCCCTGGTCTCACACCTGCCCATTTAAAAAAAAACTGTAAACATACAAAATAATCCTAATACAAACAACAGCCTTCCCTGCTGTCTTTCCCCTTTCCCTAGCTCCCACATCGACAACAAACAACAATACGTGAGTTTATGGTAAGCTCCCTATTCCAGGGAACTTCTTGTCCTGTATTTCTGTGAAGTGTCACACAATTATTGTACTATATGAATGCTACTAAAGTAAAGTTTCTACAGAGTTAAAGAAATAAGATACAAAAATCAGACAAAAGCAACAAAAATTTCCATCACAACAAACCATGAATCCTGTAAAATACATCAATTGTTTGACCATGCTCTTTATCTGCCTTTCCCTCCCCTTCTAATTACCAAGAAATGCGTGTTAATTAGATGGCCACAGAAAATGCCTGATTCTTCTCTTCTGCCTTGTATGTAATTTTCTTTTACGCCAGTCTGTGCGTCACTCCATTTTGAAGTCAAAGTCAATCACTTGTTTTGAGAAAATGAGTTTGAACTGAAACCAGACTTTTTATTTGGATACTAGGTAGATTTGATTTACAGTGATATTATGGAAGAGTACGCAGAGTATTCCAAACACAAGCGAACTGCAGCACACTTCTAATATGCTGTTCTTTGAGGGTAAATGATTTCAGTACTAGAAAATGTTGGCTCTAAATTGGTTCAAATCTTTAGAAGATTAAGGGTGTCTTGTCTTAATTTTAGATAATACTGTACAACATTCACACAGAGTAATTTAGAGATGCAACTTATTGCACAGGAAGATGCAGCATGTATTCCTAATTGCAATGCTTGTTTTATTAATTTATCATTTTTGTTGTTTGTTCCTGGAATAATTGAGGAGATTATAATTTCCCCCAATGTGTTCATTAGTCAAAATTTTCCTGCAAATTTTCACAAATTTCATGTATTCTGTGAGTTCCTATTTGATGCTTGATATTTAAAATTCAAGCTGCGTTGTTTAGTTATGATTGGTGACAAATCACGTCTGCTTTCTGGCTCAACAATACATCAACAATCATGTTTCTCATGCAATTCAGAATAGGTGTTTTTTTTCCTCAGTGAGTACTATTGCTGGTTATATGTGTTGCATGAATGTTCATGGGAAGCGAATGCATAAGGGGAGCAAACAGAGCTGAAGCATATTTGTATTTAAGTCTGAATGATTGTTTGAGGAAAACTTTTTGTGTTATTCACTCAGCTCTAGCGACAGTCTTAGTGGCCTCATAAGTCACTCAACACGTAGTAAGCAGTGGGAAGCCCCAATCCTGCAAAAGGTTTACATGTGTTTAAATCTTCTGGGTTGACTTCTAATGCACTACACCGCATGTGTAAAATTAAATAAGCAGATAAGTTTTAACAGGAATGGGGCCTTTTACTGTTTACAATGTACATTTATATTTAGGATATCTTTAAAAAAGAGCTCACACATAATTCATTTGATTGGTTGGGATGGAACAATGCCTTAACAGACTCATCAGTATATTCTATCCAGAAGAGGGTGATTCAAAAGTGTTCCCTGAATGTTAACAGAAAGCTATCTTCCTGGGCCTGCTTCAGATGTATCTGGTCCATTTGAATAACTTGTGTGGACTAGTATGAAAAGAGGCCATCAGACAGAATTTAGGCCACACTCTTCCTTGGTGGTGTATTCCTGCCTGGTGCAGAATTAGCTCTTTGAATCAATGGTGAGAGACTGTTTTTGAGAAATTCTACCTGCAATGTTAATTGGATGCATGCCATGCATGCCATGCCATAACCCCTTCCTTTTCAGCTGAGGTTAAGAAGTGACAAGCCACCTTTAATTTCAGATAACAGAACAATTGTACACGACTTATACAAGTTAGTTGAAAAAAATTGGTGGTGCTTTTTTATACACCTATAGCACCAGAACCTGTATTCCTTCTGCAGGCCCAACACCCACAAATTGGGAGGTATGCAGGATCAGGCCAAGGAACCATTTATATGCAAAATATACTTTTGAAATGGACTAGATTTAAATAAATAACACTTTGCTCCTCTGTAGTGCCTTCCATCTAAGGGTTTCAAAGCACTTTTATAAGTCCCGTGGAGTAGAAAAAAGTATCCCCATTTTACAGATAAGAAAACTACAGTGAAGTTAGGTTAAAGGGGAAACCCTATCCTTGTCTCTTTGGAGGCACCCTGGACAATGGAACTGGTGAGGTTCTGTTGTGTTGGAGGAAGGAAAAATGCCAAGACTGCATAGGAGCGTGCATATCCCCTCTGCTGTGCAAAGCTCAGCTTTTGGAGATACCACTGGATGCTACGGTTCAGGGTAAGTGGGGCAGGGACAGAGAACTTGCTATTCCAACCTGACACAAGAGAATGGGAGTTTCAACAGTCTGCAAAACCCACTCCAACCATTGGGCTGGAGTAGCCTCCATGGACGGCTCCACACCCTGAATTTGGGCGGGGAGGGGAATTCCTCAGGTTGGAAACCACACAGAAAATTTGCCCCTATGAAACTTGTCCAAGTCCCACAGCTAGTCCTGGCAGAGCCACAAACAGAACCCAAATCTCCTGACTTTTGCGTTAGTCTATTAGTCTCACAAGTAAAACACAGGGTCCACTCAAACTGCCATGGGAGCTGCTTCTGCTTGCAAGTTTTATTTAAAAAAAAAAAGGAGGGCGGGGGGAGAATATCAGGGGACTCAATCTATTTATTGTCCCATGAGAGCAGTGATAATAAAAAATAATATTTCTATTCATTCAGGCACTAAGTGGCCTTATTTATTTATCCATAATCTTTTAACGATGACATCAGCTGTCAATGCATTGGAGCCTTAGGTTTTCTTAACATTAATTTCTTCAGGAATTTATGCTGACTTCTTTTAAAAATAGTCTTGAAAATTAAACAAGGGTAGATGGTGATGCTAACATGAAGGAATTTGTTTATATTTTTAAAAAATGACCTATTTCAATTCCTTTCAGTTTAAATTAAACAAACATAGTAGTAGATATTCTGCGTTCTTCTGATGAATATAGTAGGGGAAAAGTAGGGGGGGAATAGGATAATGGGATACAAGGTGATACTTCAACTTAAGACATTGTTTCACATTAGCCATATTAATTACTGAAGTCAGCATGTGAAAATGGAATAAGTGTCTGCCTGGATTTGTGACTTCAGGAGTAGCGGACACTGCTCAGTATCTTACAGGATTAAACTATTACATGTATTTTATGCACACATACACTTTGCTATAGAACAAAATAGACCTGATTACTTCACTGCCTTGCACCATCTTTACTCACTTACACATGTGCCAAAATAAGTGTAAAACATTACAGGCAAAGTTCTCCAGACCTCTAAGCTAACCACACTACTTATGCAGCTCTACTCAGGCACAGTGGAGAACTGAGACCAGTATAGTAGCCTTATTTTGCCAGTAGAAATTTCTTGAAGAAGAGTTGGGTATATTTGTTCTGAAAGATGGTGGTGAGATTTTTGTTTTTGTTTGTTTTTTTAAGGCTGGTATGAGTGACAGATACTGGTTTAAGTCACCGTGAGGTTCTATGTTTTCACAAAAAGGTCAGACAGAATCAAGGGATAAATATCACCTTTTCAAAGCTCTAGCCACCTCATGATTTAGCTATGTCTACTGGATTATCCGTCTTTTCTCCTTCAGAATGTTGTTCACATCACTGCGAGCTCTTTGTATGGTTTTAATGCCTCCAACCTAGAGTGCCATTCCTAGTTTAAATCCTCTATATTTTTAGATTACTTTGACCTTGGGAGATAGAATATTGTTTTGAAAAGGGATTATAAATGACATTAGCGTTTGCTTACTATAACACATACCTGGTTAAGTGTGACAGCATTGTCTGTAAACCTTCTCCTGAGTCATCCAGCAAGAATTGCTTTTAGTTTTAAAATATTCATTTTATTATTGAGACACTGAAAACAGAACCTTTTTTTTAAAACTGAATTTAAACAATTATAGGTACAATTTTCAAAAGCACTCAGCACTGACCTAACTCTGCTCACACTGAAGGCAGCGTTAAAACTCCCATTGCCTTCAATTGGAGCACAGTTAGGCCAGGGCTGAGCACTTTGGAAAACAGTCACAGGTGAGGTGCATGCACCTTTGCTCAGACTCACATGAGGTAGAAAGGATGCTCTTATGCTTCTGTACCAGGTTTCTATGTGACCTTGAACAAGTCACAATCTCTTCTTTGCCTCTGTTTCTTCATCTGTTAAAGGGGGGTGATAATACACAGATACCTCACCAGGGCATTGTGAGGCTAAATTAATTAATGGTTTGAAAGCATGGTGAAACTCTTTAATGGAAGGTGCTATAGAATGCAGAAGATTAGCATTATATTAGGTAAAAACAACAAGGAGTCTGGTGGCACCTTAAAGACTAACAGATTTATTTGGGCATAAGCTTTCGTGAGTAAAAACCTCACTTCTTTGGATGCATCATTATATTAGGTAGGGGCACACGCGCATGCACTATAAACGATGAGACGTACCCAAAATAGCAACAACTTCATCGTCCTGGATTACTTCCAAAGACCCTGAAACCACAAAGCAAAGGCTGTCCACACTCTCGCCAGCATGGTAGATCAGATCCCCGGGGGCACAGTGTACAGTCTGAAATTCCATGGCCAGGGCTCGAAGGCACCCATCGCTAGCCAGTCTGAATGCTGGGTGCTCCTTGAAAACTTTGCGGTTCAGATGCACACAGATGTCTGCTCGCATATCCTTAGGGCAGATCTGTAAAACCTAAAAGGAGATTAGATCATCAGTTTCTGTGCAAGAGTCCCAGAGCATTCTATCGGCTGGTTGCCTTCATTGTGTCATCCCATTTTTTTTTAACCTATAGCAGAGTTTAAGAACTACAGCATTCTTCTCAGACATTTCCATCCTCAGTCAAAAGAAAAAGCTCTAACATTAACTTAGTCTCCTTTACAATACCAGAAGGAAAATAATGTTTTATCTCAGCTACATTCTCTGCTGGATATTAAATTACTAGAATAAATGCTGCAGGTTTTTAAAACAGTAAAATTAACAGCACAGCAATGCATAAAGCTTGTGTAGAAAAGACTGCTAATGCCATGGGCTTGTATTTGATGGATATTTCATTCTTAATAGGAAAATTCCATGAAAAATCTGCACAAACTGTGCATAGTGCATTACCTACTTGGAGTGTGCGTGATAAGGGGAGTCATAGATTCCTTTAAGCTAAATAATCAGAAAACGTATTAACCTATCGTGGCTAACTACAGAAGTATAAACACCTCACCCGCTGGCAAGAATGAACAGAGTCCTTTGTGTGTGAGATAAGTTGTCTTACACCCGGTTTTCCATAGTGGGGAATCTTTAACCTTCCAGGGACAACATTTCTTCTAGTGCACCATCCTAATGGGTTTCTGTTTATCAAGCCTTTTTTATTAACATACTTCTATCTTTATGTGTATATTTGTGCCACTGCATCAGTGATCCTGTTGTGTCCAGTGTCACATCTACCTTGGGAGATTGTTGATATGCTACAGACACGAGTGAAGTGGGGACAGTGGATTTGCCAGTGTACATACAAATTTAAAATTACTAGTGAAAACTCTGGAATTGTACAATACGTATAGGAATTTGGGATCACAAGCTTTCCTGCAGGATTAATCTCTGATGGACTGGACATCAACACTCATTATTTGAGAGAAATACATTTAATAGAGCAGATGGCGTTTGCCTCATTTTTCTCAAAAGTAACTACTTCATCCAGGAACAACCTTCATGAGCTCCAAAGTTACTCCGATGCATCCATCCTTGATGGAAGGAGGGTGGTGGTTTCAGTGCAAAAGCTCATAGGTATTAGGGGCAAGGGTAAAACAGTAAATAGTTAGACATATCAGAGACCAGAGACTATAATAAGGGACCACCATGGTACAAAACTAGAGTTCCAAGGCCCATATTTTCAAAGATAGACACCTATATGGCATGTTAACTATGCATGCAGCCCTGCACACAGCTTCTTATTTGTGTATGCAAATATGCCTCCAGGGTCAAATCTTCTATCACTGGCCAAAGCCTAGGTACCAGGCTTTGCTCATGAGTCCTCTACAGCAGTGGTCTCCAAAGTGGGGTGCGCACATCCCAGGGTGTGTGCAAGAGGATCCTTGGTGGTGCGCGGCAGGAGGTGCGCGATCAAAAAAGTTTGGAGACCTCTGCTCTACAGAGCTGGAGGGATGGAATTCTACAACCAAGAGTGCAGTGCGCCAGAAGAAAACTAATCGATAGCCACTGTAAGAGTCCCCTTAACTACCATGGCTCCCTAGTCTGGAGGTAAGCGGATCTGTTGCAGATCCTCTAAAGCTTTAAGTTTTCTAGTCCCACCCCCAAGGAGCCATGCTACTATAGGATGCAGTAGTTCTGCAACTTTTCAGGCTCTACATTCCCACATTAGGAGTGAGGGAACACCATTTGGCTTGGACACACACAAATGAGGTAGTTAGCTGTACACTTACCCAATTTACACTTGGAATGTTTATGTTCACACATACGTACCATATTTGCAGAAACTCGCCATTCAGAGATTAGCCTAGGAAGTGTGTGTGCGCACACACACTTCCCAATTATCTTATTGTCACATACATATTTTTCGGTGCTGTTATAAGTGGGGCAATTACAGGAAAACCTCTGATTTTGCTAACGATGACTTTATGAAGGCATACAATATAAACCAGCATTACTGATGGTGGTGAGCTGACCAAGTGGTTTGAAGCGAAAACTGTTGTCCAACAGGTATGCATATTCAGTCCCATACTTTTTGCTCTATTCTTAGAAAATTTCTTGTCCAGTTCCCTGAATAACACTGGTGGAGGCCACAGGATATTAGGACAAATGTCAAGCACCTTGACTTTGCAAACAATATCATAATGGTAAGGCCTACGGAGGAATATAACCAAGAAGCCGCAACTAACCTATACACAACAGCCACAGAATGGAGATTAAAATCGAACAAAAGACCAAACTAATTGAAACATGAAAAATCAAGGAACAGCCTAAACTCATCATTAACAGTGTCGACATTGAACAAGTAGAGAGTTTCTGCTACTTAGATTCCATCATAAGGTATGACAACCACTATGAAGACAACATTGACAAGTGGATAGCTACTGCCAGGAGAATGTTCACTTGCCTGAATATAAATGTTTGGAACCTTAACTCACCATGTCCATGACAGCTAAAACTAGTTTATATACAGTGCTCATTGTACCCATATTACTTCATGGTTATGAAACATGGGTACTGATAAAGCATCTGGAGCAAGAGCTGCAAATATCTGAAATGAGTTGCTTGCACCATATCCAGGTATGACAAGGTTAGACAGGCTAAAGAAATGATGACATCCATAGAAGACTAAAAGTACAGCGAGTGACTACAATCATCAAAAAGGTGCCAACTACAGTGGTTTGGCAATGTTGCTAAAATGACCCCATACTGCCTGCATAAAATTGTTCTGTATGGAAATAATACATGGAGAGAGAGGCAGCAGACATCCACGGAGATAGTGGTATAACATGGTATATGAAGCCATCCAGGAAACTCACCTACAGGGTCCAATGACAGCTCAAAACAGAAGTGGATGGAATCCTCTCATAACTTTGGCCCTACCCAACCTTGGTGTTGGAAGGAGGAGACAATGATTTTATGAAACTCTCATCCAAAATGCTTCTGGCTCCCCCTATTGAATAGGAGATTATTGTATTTCTCACTCCCATTTTAGAGAAGTTTGGGGGATTGCCTTCAGATTTTCAAATATGTTAAACCCACTATAGGTAACCCTTGATGCCTATGAGAATTCCTAGGACTGTAGTAGCCTTTCATCAGTATGAATATCACAAAGAAGCCAAATGTGGATCATCATGGATTAGTTAGTGTTTGCCACTGGTTCCTGGTTAAACTTGATTAGAATGACATTTGCAAAACCTGAAGGCTTGCCTTTGCTTTTAGTTGGTTATTCATCCCCAGACTTACGCACAATCAGCACCAGTTCAAGCACCATATTACAAAGATTGATTCTGAGGATAAGTTCACCTTTAAATATTTGTGTTACCTGTAGCGGGTTACATTATATTACACACTAACAATGGCAGCTGTGCAGGCATGTGGAAGTGATACCATGTTTTATTCATTATGCAGCATTCTGGAAGTTGTGGATGAATGCAAAAGTCAATGGAGCTCAGACTTGAGAATTTATGGACTGGTACAACCATTAGTCAGTGGTATATTTGTTAGTCCTTGTTATAAATGTTGAGGCTGATTTTTTTTTCGTTTTATAGCCATAAATATTGGCGCTTATGCTTCCAAAGTGTCAGTTACTGAAAGCTACATCATATGCTCTTTGAGATTCTGATAATTGGAGACTTTGCATATTAAAATAATTCTAGAAAGTGAAATGAATCAGATGTGATTTAATTTGAGTCTTGCTATCTCCAAAGGCATTCCCAGCAGTACGTATCTAGTATTTCCGTTTTAAGCAAGGGAAGCCAGGGATGAATCGCAAATATTTTTACATGCAGATTACTTTTTGTTGCTGGAGCATTCCACTGTACTGTGTGCCCTGGGTGTCCCCTGACCATCCTTTCCAGGTTATATTCCTCCGTAGGTATATTCCCAGGTGGCTTTACATCCTTCCCTGAAGGCCACAAAAAGCAGTATTTGTGAGGATATGATCAGTGCCGCTGCTGATCAGTACATCCAGCACTGCAATATCATTCCTCCTGGAGAACTGCTGTTCTGGACAATACCCCCTCGAGTTGCACTCTGGGATCCAGATGGCAGAAAGCAATGCTAAAGAGCCCCATCAGGAAGTCAAACAGTCCCGTCTTCCTATGGGACTCCAGGCAACCATTTCCAGGCTGCATCTGCTCAGCCCATCTCTAACAACGTTTTAAGTGCTAGAGAGCAATAAGTTTGTTTGTTTTTAAATTACATCATCCACCATTTTGAACAATAAATTAAACAACCAACCAGAAGGCTGGTGATGGGAACGTTGTTGTAATTTCCTGAATTAATAGCCCTGGAACACGCACCAGGCTCATTTCTCTGTTAACAAAAGGAAAACAATATCCATCTCTAGAAAAGTAGGCACCTAATATGAAGGGACTGAAGAGAAATGTTTTTGTTTTGGTGAAGGTGTATGTTATCTCAATACACACAAAGGGAGTTGTGCCTGTAAATCCAATGAATTAAGATGAGAATATTCCCCTACTAAAAGGAAGATCCCAAACTATCTTATTACAAGAATAGCTAACCTATATTAATAACCTATACCCTGAACGTCTACATGGTAATCAATACCCCTATTAATATGTGACAGGAGCAGACTCTGCACAGAACCACAGTTGCAACATGTGCCTCTCTCTGAGGTCAGGCAGCTCATCCGAGCAGTATGATCTTGTTTCCTCCCAACCTCCTTTTGGGTGGCATGCATTCCTTAGGGCCCAGGATATGACCAACCCCGACACCCTAGGAGTACAGAAACTGCAATTGTGCCTGGCCCCTGGCACGGAGGGTGAAAAGGAAGGCAAGGCTGCCTGTGCCCTGTCCCCCTGGATACTCAGACTTGATCAGCGCACAGTCTAGCCCAGGGGTTCTCAAACTGGGGGTCGGGACCCCCTCAGGGGGTCACAAGGTTATTACATGGGGGAGTCACGAGCTGTCAGCCCCCACCCCAGACCCCACTTTGCCTCCAGCATTTATAATGGTGTTAAATATATAAAAAAGTGTTTTTAATTTATAAGCGGGGTCGCACTAAGAGGCTTGCTATGTGAAAGGGGTCACCAGTACAAACGTTTGAGAACCACTGCTCTAGCCCTACAAGACTATAAAACCTATTACCATCAATGCAAATGTTGTTTGTTTGATGTAATTTTGGCATCCCAATAATTCAACAGCTAAAAATATCAACATTGGGGATTAAATGGTTTGCAAGCTTGGAAGAGCTTTCAGTAAGCGATATGTTTCCTTCAGGTTGTATTCTCTCACCTTTTCAGTATCTATCCCCCTGGACATTGACCAAGTGGAAACGATATAGTCCATCACACGTTCGCTCAGACCTTTGGGCACTTGGTAGAGTTTAAGGAAGTCCCGGACGCTGTTCAGCATTTCATGGTACCGGTTTGTGTTGGCATACATTTGCTGAAAGATGGTTGTCACGTTACCAAAAATGGTTGCATACAGAAGTGCTGTAAACAAAAGAAAAAAAGTAAGGTAGGTATTTTCCTAAAGTCTCAAAGAGCTGCAGACTGGAGAACTACGTAATAATATGTTGTGTTGGTTTGTCTGCCCTCTCACAATGTCTGTGTGTCCATATATCCAAGGGCAACAGTAATGTCAGGTCCACAGAAGTGTAAGTGATCACTTCACCCAAGTTAGGCTGGTAAAATCTTATAACACACAAATACAAACATTTCTGGGTCACTTGTAGCACTACAAATTCAGGATGGCTGTATAATTTATGATGGTGAGCATTGGGAAGTGAAAGGGAATTACCAAAACATATTCTATACATTTGTCTTTGTCCATCAAACAATTTAGTAGCATCAAAAACCATATACAAACAAAATGTAAGATAAAAGAATGTTAAGACAAATAGTTTGATAGTAAATAGTTTAAAATTTCATCTATGGTCTATTGCTTCTGTGTTAAAATGCCATCAGTGACAGATTTCCCAGCTTTAACTGCATTACTACAGTAGTCAGTCGAGCCATCATTATCCACCTCAGCGTGACAACAACAATGCATCAAAGCACAAGAGAGAAGACTTCAGGAGGGGGAGGGATAGCTCAGTGGTTTGAGCATTGGCCTGCTAAACCCAGGGTTGTGAGTTTAATCCTTGAGGGGGCCATTTAGGGATCTGGGGCAAAAATCTGTCTGGGGATTGGTCCTGCTTTGAGCAGGGGGTTGGACTAGATGACCTCCTGAGGTCCCTTCCAACCCTGATATTCTATGATCTCTTTAGGCCATTGAGACCAGAGGAGTAGGTCCAATCTGGATTTAGTCCAAGGCAGGGCCTTCTCAGGAGGATATGCCCATGCGTGGAACTGCCTCCTTGAGGATGCATAACCATTTTCAGAACTCATAAATCCTTTCTCCTTGAACCAGCTTGCCCATTTTCCACCTACCCTTCTGGACAGATGGATAGGGAGCTGGTGCTAGGGGAATGTAACTGGACCACTCTCCCTACTTCAGTCATCACTGTATACAGTGTCCAGGGGCACTTTTGATAAGTATCAGAGTTCAATAAATTATTTATGTATTCATGGGCCAAATCCTGAGGACCTTACTCAGTTTCAACTCAAATCACACCTCTCCTGGGATCCATAGTGCCTTAGTATAAGCACTGCTTAAAAGCTGAGAAAGGTCTTCAGGATTTGGCCCAACATAACTATTACATAACCCTATTAAAATACATATATTTGCTAACTTAATCACGTAGAGCAAGTGTAGCAGAACACCATAAAGAAAAGAAAAACAGGAAGGCCAGCTTTTAAAATCAGATAACCAAGAGCTGGTTGGACCTTGGGCCAACCCCTTGGACCAATTCCTCATCAGTTTTTATTTAGTCCTTATGCTGACAAACCCTTCCATTAAAGTCAAGGGGTAACTTGATCACACTCAGTACCTCCAAAACTTTGATAATGGGCTCTTCAGTCTAGCAGACAAAGGTATAGCACAATCCAATGGCAGGAAGTTGAAGCTAGACAAATTAAGACAAAATGCTTAACAGTGCGGATAATTAATAGAGCGGTGCAAAAAAAATTCAATGAGCAACTTATTTGCTGAAAAATGCAGTTTCTGGTCACAAAATTCAGGTTGAATTCGGCAAATGATTTGGGCAGAAAAAATGAGGGAGTTTTTCTTTTCAAAAAAGTCAAAATGGTTTGTTGCAACATTTTCTAAGAGAAATGTTTCAACTTTGTTTCGAAACATTTAATTTAGAAATTTAGATAGATTTAACACAAAGGGTAAAAATCACCCCAAATATAAAAACATGTTTCGGATCAGATTGAATAAAATTTGGGACTTGGGGGGGTGGCAGGGTAGTTCATTTCAGCAAGAAAAAAAAATTGTTTTTTTGGGTCAACCAGAAACAAAACAAATTTTTGGTCCAAACTGAAAAATCAATTTTTTTGTCCCACTCTAGTTACAAGCTATTGGAACAACTTACCAAGGACTCTGGTGGATTCTTCATCTCTGGCAATTTTAAAATCAAGATCTGATGTTTTTCTGAAAGATCTGCTCTAGTTCAAACAGAAATTCAGGGAAGTCTATGGCCTGTGATATTTAGGAGGTAAGACTAAAGGATTACAGCAATCCCTTCAGTTTTATAACCTACGAACCATTGGGAGTTCTGCCTGAATTTGCATTGAATGAACACTGAAGGAGGACTTAGGGCATTTGGCCCCGTGTTAGTAGTATTTTCCCCTCATTCTTTTCACATTTCCTAAAGGAGGAAAGTTAACAACTTTCTGGTCAATCTTTGCCCCCATCAGAATGAGGTTTTGCCATCAATGAAATTAATAGTAGGTAACAAATCCAATTTCCCCCCCGGATATGTTACATGTTGGGTTTTACACCTACGATAATTACTTTACATTGTATTACACTACATTATGTTGTAAAATCATAAGGCACAACACAACTAGGGGAAGCAAACAAAATATATCATTTTAAATAGGATAGCTAATCAATATCCAATTGCATTGTTTCATGCACTATAACCAGTTGTTGAGAGCCAACACCTATCACTTGATTTCTCTGCTGGTGGTAGAAATACATAAATATTTTAAAGCCAATGCAAGCAGCAAAAGGTATCCCACAAAATATGGCAAATAGGACTACTGGGTGTTTTTTTTTAAGGTAGAGTTATGCTATGACACCAGAGGTATGATTATGTCTGTCCCAGCATGCACTTAATGCTGAAAGGAAGAGAAAAGGTGGCTCTGGGTTCTATTTACCTTTAGTGTGGCAAAGCCAAGCCCTACCCAAGCTGACTCAGGTACAGAATGGACCTAGAAAAAAAAAGTCCTTGCAGTGATAGGCCCAAATCAAAAACAGATCTAACTCCAGATCTGAATCCAAACTTTATATCTATATAAAAAGGAGCCCAGCCAAAATCATGGATCCAAAACCCCTGAAATGTGAGTGTTTAAAGTGCAGATTCACACTTCCCTAATAAGCCCACTAAAGAGAGAGATTCAACCCTCAAATTTGGCTATCATCTCATGTCCAGATACAATGTTCTGGTCCATCTCAGCTTTCATAGACCCAGCCTTTGCACTACATCCAGGCAAATGGGCTTAGCACAAAGTGGCTGCATGGGAGTTGCAGTAGATGCTCATGCCTCTTCTAAAAGAGAAGGAAGATTCAAAGGCTCCATTCCTCCTTCTCCAGGCATGCCTCTACTCCTCCGCTCCCTCTGCATAGGGATACAGAAGACCGTGATTGGAGCTGTGCAGACCCTGGAGGTGCAGACCTCCTGCACGAGCTCTTCAAATCCTTTCCCACCCTTCTGCTGCTGCTGCTGTTAAAGGCTCTTCACAGCTGTGAACAATGGGCAGGATTTGCCCCTTCATGTAGTTCTTAAATGGCTTTTCTTCCACCAATCAAAATCAAGATTTCAGCTTGTGCTGCTGCACAATATATTATGCAAACAGTCAAGAAGAATAATTTTTATATGGATTTTGCCTGGTGGTGTACAAATGATTTCCTATTTATTTGTAGCATTAAGGTTTGCATGGGCTAAACGGTACCTAAAAGCCTGCGGGATGCAAATACCACATCTCATGGAGAAAGATGAAGAAATGCTTTTATCAATACATTTAATATAAAAGCAATTTAATCAGCAGATTTTCTATTTAAACACTATCACCTTTTTCCTTCTAGATGCTCTTCTGCTACCTGGACGCTAAATATCACGGCCTAGATTCAACTCTGACTTTTGCTGGCTTATCTGGCGTAATCCTGAACACAGGGCATCCAGCAGTGGAAAGTCCACCTGGAAGGAATCTGTGACAGCCCAAGGAATCTATAAACCCTCTTCCACTGGGTAGCCTTCAGCTAGCCAATGCAATCCCCAAAATGGGCAGCACTGAGTAGGGAGGGGGCATGGCAGTCAGCAAGGTTAGCTATGGATTCAGTACCTTCTGGACGGCTTTCATTGGCGGGCCTTTACTGGAGCAAACGCTGTCTATTGTCACCTATGGAGCAGTGACTCCGGCTGGCTCAGGGAGTAGGAATTCACAACCCCTCTGCCGCGACGGGTAAATTGAACCCGATGTCTCCGAGTTATTGTCCAAGAAAATCAAGCAATGTGAAGTCTGGTGAAAAACAACACCCAATACTTCATTTTGATTAGTACGTGTGTGCAATTTAACAGCAATTTCAATTGCTAATTGCAGCCACTATGCTCCGATATTACAATTACCTTGCCAAGGGAAATTATTGCCGCATACATGAATTTCTTATTAAAAAACACTCCAAATCTTAATTTATCATTAGTTAACCATTTTATTAGGATTAAATGGACACAGAAAGGATGAGGATTATTTCAGTCTGTACGGGGGGATAACATTAGCATATTGCATATTGACCCGTAATGTTTCTGCAGAGGATAGCTAGTTGCATATCTTCACTTCTTTCTACAAGAATAATGAAATGAATCCATAATAAGATGTTCAAAGCCACAGAAGGAATTCAGAATCAAAATTCTTCGCTTTCAAAGAACTGGGTGGCAAAACAAACTCCTGTTTTCAAATTGAATGTTACTGCTCAAACACTAAATTGCAGTAGGGTTTGCCAACCGTCCAGGATTGTCCCAGAGCCTCCAGCAATTACTCTTTGATTAAAGATTATGTCATGTGATGAAACCTCCAGGAATACGTCCAATCAAAATTGGTAACCCTAAATTGCAGGCTAAATGTTGGCATTAAGCTGCTGCCCTGTATTGGTGGTCCAGGGGAAGCTCTCTGGAGGCACTGAGCCTGATGTACTGTTGCTCTACGGCTGTTTTGTGCCAGCTCTGCATCACCTCCGCAATAGCCCATTTAGGGCTGAATGGAGGTGGGGCAGAGGAAGGAGGAGATGGATCTGAGCAAGAGGCGGTGTGGTCAGGGTGGATCGACAGCCCAGCAGTGGCCTATAAAGAGACAGCAGTTAGGACAGCCCCGAGGGGCTTCCCCAG